ATATATATATATATATATATATATATATATATATAGAAAAACACATCAGGGTTAACTCTGGTTACTTTTTCAATACATGTAAAACACAACTTTCTAGATAATAAAACAATGTTAATCCACTTCCTCTCAGGTTTTATACATGCCTTCTATTTATAATAGGAATTGCACTTTTATAATATAAGTTAGCATTCGAGTATGAATCACATAGAGGAACAGCAAGAAACAGAAAACTGATTTAAAACTCACTGACAACCCGTTGCAAGACCGCTTGGCATCACCTACATATACAACTCTTAGCATTTATGTAAGTTCAGATAAATTCTTATATTTATATAAAATAATACATGAGAACAAAGTAAAAGCAGTCATTACAAACTATAATTTAATGTTGAATATTTTATTATAAATACAATTACATATTTAAGGTAAAAGTTTGTGGCTGTGGATAAAATATTTTTAGAAAGAACTAAATAATTTAAAGTATATAATGTATACCAATGTTTAAAGATGTTCAAAAATCAACAATGTCTGTGTAAACTAGAAAAGTACTATTTTTGCCATAAAAAAGAAAAACAAACTGATTGTAGACCAGATCAAGCTCCCAGTATATGTGTGTGTGTGTGTGTGTGTGTGTGTGTGTGTGTGTGTGTGTGTGTGTGTTTGTTTGTTATAAAACCCTGTTAAATTTAATAAAAAAAGATAGGTGAAAAGAACTAACCCATATTTGAAGTTTAACTCTCTTGTCTTGTCTAAAAACTGTTTTCACTTTGAAGTCAAATACCAACAGTGCTGACAAAAGCTGATGTAAAAGAATCATCGGCATATCTAAATAGAAATGAGGTCTTTCCAACACTACTATTCCCAATTATTAAAATTTTAAACATATAATCAAAATTCTGATCAGCTGCATCTCTTTGCCACTTCTGTTCCTGACCTGCTGGCATCTGCAAAACATTCAAAATACACACATTATGAGTTGAAAATGTAAAATTACATGCAAGTTGTTTTTCATAAATAGGTAGGAATCTATTATAATATCTGAGCAACACAGGTTCATTCTATAGTACATCTTACTGAAAATTAAGCACCAAATCTAGTTTAGATCAAGGTAGTCCAACCTTTAACCTATGAACGGGTAAATCCTAGATGATGGAAACATTGGAGTACATTCTTTATTACTTAAATGACTTACTGACACAAGATTTTCTGTGAAAGTTTATTTCTGAGTAAAATGTTTTATCGCATAAACTTGAACATATGAATCATAATGAGTGCAATGGCTGGATTAACTCAACAATAGGGCCAGATGCAGTCTATGGATTACCAATTTAATTATGCTGGTTTAGATTATACTATGTAACATGATGCTGGACAGACACAACCCCTTATATACTGTTAAACTGACAAAAATAATAATATTTCAAAGATAATATAACCAATCATACATGCATTACAAAATGGGAAAGATAAAGAACAGGGCAAAATAAAATGATGGTTTAATGAAAAATTAAGTTCATTGGAATAATATATTATTTTTAACATAAAAAAGTTTACACATGCTAAAACTAAAACCAAATTAGACTGCAAAAACTGTTAGTTTAAAATCTAGTCTTTAGCTAGTGACTGTCACCAAAAACCATTGTTTGTGTACTACACTAATTGTCAACAGTTATTTATATATCATTTACGCTCACATTTAATGGACTGTATTGTACAATAAAATTGTCTCACAGAAACACTTATTTGAAAACAATAGGAAGATTTTTTTTTTTTAATGTATAATACTGGTTGTTCACCAACACATTTTTAACTGTAAAAATGGACATAATTACCAACAAAAGTAAGATTAAAACAATGCAGGTTAAAAGGTAGTAGTAGTAGTAAATAAACCAAGAAAGTGGTCATGACCATACATGAAATGGGTGGACACAACCTATAGGCAGTACAGAATAAAACAATTCATGTTACAAGGTAGTAGTAGTAGTAAATAAATCAAGAAAGTGGTCATGATCATGGTTGAAATGGGTGGACACAACCAAAATCAAGTGTCTGGCCACATCCAAGAGGCAGTACAGAATAAAACAATTCATGTTACAAGGTAGTAATAGTAAATAAATCCAGGAAGTGCTCAAGATCATGTTAAAATGGGTGGACACAACCAAAATCAAGTGTCTGGCCACATCCAAGAGTCAGTGCTGCAGCTTTTTGAGTGATTGCTAGAATGATACCTGGTTTAAGAAACTTAGGCTAAGGAGAAGCTCATAGTTTTGAACCTTTTGTTTCTTGGATCACATAAGAATTATAGAAAACCTAAGTGGAAATATTTATCTTTGATTAATTCATTACTTTTGTGAGTCATGATTAAGCTGAACAACCTTGAATTAAACAAAAAATAGTAATGAGAAATCATAATGGTAATATTTTAATTACTTGGATAGATGGAATAATTGAAAACACTAATAACTGGAAACACTATTTTCAAGTAATTGATTATTTTCATGACAATGATTTAATTGTAATTTTGATTAATCAGTTCTTTCATGACACTCACCAATACTCGTAAATAATTGAACATATCAATGAGTTAATCACTAAGCTCTAAGTACTGTATTTAATTCTTCTTTAACCCTTTCGCTGCAGCTGGAACATACGTTTCCCAGTGAAAGGGTTAAGTGTCCGGTTTATCTGTTAGTAAACTGTTAAGTAATTATCCTTTCAATTTTGCATTTCTTATTTTTCCACCTCTTATCAATCAGTAATTTTTTGAAAAATTAAATTTTACTTCCAAGTATGTGTGCATGTATGCATGTCAAAGGAAATATTTAACAAACAAAGGATGAAAACATTTATTATAAGGCAATAACAAACACTTTCAGAAGTAGAAGAGTAAAATTTATACAATATAAAAAGCAAAATTATATCACAAACTAATGATATTTCTTATTATTAAAAAATTATCTTATGGGCCTATGAATTTATTGATTAACTCTTCCAATATGGGGTCAGTCAATGTGATGACCTTGTAACCATTTTGTGTTTGTTATAGTTTTCATGCTATAACTTTCAAATTAGTAAGTGAATGGCATTGAAACTTGGCAGATAATCAGTAAACATTACCATGCGTTCATATGCAAAATATCTATTTTTTATTAAGTCGTAAAGTTTGTAAAGCAATGTTTTTCTCATGCTTTTTTTTTTCTTTTCACATCTTCCTTATCTATCATGCAAAGTAATTTTCATTTTAAAATTAAAACATTTTTATGCATCAGAAGATTTTGAAATTTCATATGCAAAATGTTTATAATGTCCAGAAAGTTATCAAACATTTCTTAAGGAAAAACTTTATATTGCATCTGTTATTTTCAGTAACAAATCTCTGTATGGGTTCGGTAAATTTGAACAATCTTGCACCCACCATAAAAAATTAGGAAATAAACAAATTATGCCTCTTTCATTCTAGAATGAACACAAATTA